CAGGGGGCTCGTTTGACAGAACTAAGACATCAAATACAAGAAACAATGCCACGAACGTTCCCTTTGGGACATCCTGTCTCTGAGGAAGTTCTCTGCGCTGTCTTCTTTCCAAGCAGGGGGTAAACCAGGGTAACACTGCCAAGGAGCCGCTGACCAGCGAGCATCTGGCCTCCCAGGCCACCACACAGGAATAAGCTGCGTCTACACTGTGAAGTTTGATTCTTAAGCATGTCAAAATGTAACCTTCAGTTGAAAGCATCAGTGATACTCACCGGATCCGAGTGGTTAGGAGAAAACAAGTAAAATCCTAGAGAAGCAGCAGAGAAGGCGGAGTAGGAGAGAAGAAAGGGGGAAAGAACAAACAAAAATAAAGCCTGGTTAATGTTAAGCAGCGGAGTGGTAAGTCTCTCTTCCCAAAGAGAAGGGCACACCGAGAGTAAGCCTTCTCTGACACCATGAAGAGGAGAGTATCTGAAAGGCCTCCTCCATACAGATTTCCCAAGACACATCACTGGCATTTCACCGGTCCTTTCGGAAAACAAACCTTCTGGGGATGGCTTGAGTATCGGACTGTAGGAGGTACACTACAGACACATGCATTCATGGGAACGTAGACTAAACTTGCAAGACTGAGGAATCGTTGGTGGAAACAGAACTTGGAAATCGCAAACACACACACACACACGACATACTATTCTCTGGAAGAGGTCAGAAGGACCTTTGTCTCAAAATTGAATACCCAGCTTCTAGATTTTTTAGATCTTTAATTCTGCCCTCCAGATGACTGCAGATAAAGTGGGATAAATTGCAGATCCTGGTAGAACTCTGAATCTGATCAGCTTTATACTCATCCAGGCTGTTTGTGTTGCTTTTGGACATTAACTGGTTAAGAGCATCACTTCATCTTCAATAAATACAACTCACCCAGGATGGCAAAAATCACCATGAAGAAAAGCAGGAGGAGAAGAATGTCAATAAATGGTGGGAGGGACTGGAAGATCTGTCGCAGATTTCTGAAAAATAAGAAAACATTAATAAGCTAAAACTTTAATGTTTTCTCCTCTGGGTTGGCACGAAAAAAAAAACCCAACACCACACCATACTTGAGGACTTTCTTCCCACTCCCTCCAAGGACTAAAAATAGAAAGCTAGGTAAATTAAGATCACAGAATCACAGCATGGTTGGGGTTGGAAGGGACCTCTGTGGGTCATCTAGTCCAACCCCCTGCCCAAGCAGGGTCACCCAGAGCAGGCTGCACAGCACCG